GTGGCTTCCTTCTGGAGAAAGCGACTCAAGCTGCTCTTTGCCTCCTGTTTAGTTCTTCCTTTAGATCGTTCACCATGTTCATCGAACGTCCGAGATATACGTATGAAGACGTCTCCGCAATTGGAGAGCCTTATATTTCCATTTCCTAATAATTGCAAAAAGCGTTTTCATGAACTGAGTCTTCTTTCGGTTAACTCGTAGTCTTATCCGCTTCCCACTTCGTTTAGTTCTTCCAATATCGTCTTCGGTCCGGTGATATTCCTCAAAAAGGGAACAATCATGAAAGTTGAATATTGAATGAATGTTCGAGTGGAATCTGCCATCGACTCGTATATCTCTCTTGTTCCAACTCAACGATTTCATTACCCACTGTAAGGCGGCGGTAAACAGCTTTGGCGACACGGTGTCGTCTTGTCTACTAAGTGGACGATGGAAAAGCTGTACTGTTGTAGGGTAGTTTTTGTAGCAGTCAGCCAATGTCTTCGTGTAAGAAGGGATCACCCCTTGGTCGACGAGCGTTGATAGTAGGACATTTGTCTCGACGCTGTCAAACGCTTTCTCACAACGAAAGTTAGGACGAGATCGATACAGTGCGGATGTGATCTACTCAGTGAAACGCCTTGCAAAATCCAACTTGTTGGTTGAGCTTCATCCAATCTTTGATATGTGAGTGAGAATAATCTTTGTGAAGAGCTTGTAAAGTACGCTAGAGGGCATATTGGACGGTTTTTCCGAAGATCCTCCCTATCGAACTTCTTGTTGAGAAGAATTGTTTGTGAAGTTCTCTAATGGTCGAAGATCCTTTCTTTTAAAGGTGGAACGTTAGGTGCGCTGCAAGTAACTCGCGCGGGCAACTTCTCCAGCTTGTAAGAAGTTGCCCGAAATGTAGTCCGGTCAAGGAGCCGTAGCTGCCTTTACGGTCTGGATTGCGGCGGGTACTTTAGTAGGTAGAATCCATGATGGTATTTCTCTATTAGGAATAACGAGATCTGACATGTTGACAAGCGAAGGAGATTGGTGTAGAATTTCTTCGTGATGATTCCTTTTGTCGGGAAGATGTGCGAGTCCCGCCTCCACTAGTAATGTTGTGAGAAGGTACTTGTGGTACTTCAACTTCTCCTTCCTGGTGCTTCTTCTAAAAGTTCCGATTACCTGTAATTTCGAAAACCTTTTTGCAAAGCTGTTCTACAACGGTATTGGCTACCAATCGCTCGAGATCTGATGTAGTCGGATTCAGCCTCAGTGCTCTCTTCCTCTTCAACAGAACCTTGGTGGCTTTCGATATTCGTTTGTTCCTTGCTCAGGGCAAGTACTTTCACCACATGCTCTTAGATTTCCGAGAAGCAGTTCGTAGTCTTTCGCTGGGTGCTTCTCGATGGGCCAGTCACAAGTAGTCAGGAGCCCCCAACCTGACGTCGTTATATACGACTTCTCTCCTTCCTCCACAACGGTGGCAATTTTCTTCTTCAGCTTTTTTCTAAATCGCACTTTGAAGGAGAAAATTCAAACTACTGCTAAAACATGGTACCGCTGAGACATCCAGTATACCACCATTGGTTGGTGAGAATGTGATCGACTTTCGCATGTATGTACCGCTGGGCAACTCCCATGCCCACCGCCGATGTTCTTTTTTCATGAAGCTGGAATTCTTATGAAAAAATCGTGCGGTTAGTAAGAGCCCAACAAGGCGGTTACCACTCATTCGAGTTTTTATCTATCCCTCATGCTTTCTTCTTCTGGCATCTTAATTTTCGGAAGACACTCGTTAGAATTCGTAGAAGGAACGTTCTTTGCGGATGACAACTTCCAAATCCTCATAAAAAGCATCTAGTTCAGAGTAGTCAGCTTGATGTTGGAGAATGGTAGTTAAAAATAGTGATAGTTTGCAGAGGACGGAGCCGAAGGATAGCCAGGCAAGGTGACACGATCTCATGCGAATTAACAAGATGGACAACAGATTAGAGTACGACAAACTCAACGTTCAGTGATGGAACCGTCTCAAAGAATGATGAGTGTGCCAACAATCGCTGCTTCACATCCGTCCTCCGAGACTTCGTTTCCTGCAAAGCAATTATGTGGCAACAGCTTCGAGAAGGCTGTGAAATTTTGCGTTGGTGGAGATTGTTCTAGCATTGTAGGTACGAGCATGAGACAATCTCCATGGCGAGTCGTTGACGTGTCCTTTTGGTCCGAAATCCATGGCATCCTGTGC